TGAAGCCCGAAGTCAGCTAAATGGCTAATGATAGCTATCGCATCGCCTGCCATTTGAAATAAATAAATATTCCAAAATTTATTCTGAAATGACGTAACAGTCCGTTAAAAATTAGAGATAGTATGTCTTTTGAAGAGCCATTCGTGTTTTTTACAATGACATTTTTACTAAAGTCATCCAGCCAATAGAAACATAGATGCTGCGACCCAATCAAATGAAGTTTTAACTTCAACCAATCCGTGTTTAGTTTTATTAGTTTGGTAAATCCCCCGCCTATATATATAGGAACTCAGTTTCAAATTACAATAATATGATGCGCGATAAGTTCTTAATATTTTGTATTGTTGTCTGTGGCTTTGCTGTTGTGGGATACTCACTACAACGTGAAAAATGTGACTGTTATGCTGCCGTTATTCCAGAGAATTGTTATAAACTCTGCAATTCTATTACCCAACCTCCACCACCAGCTCGTTATGACATTCTTAAAAAATTAAACCCTGTTCCAGGCTATAGTTCCCACAAAGAGAAAGTAAACCCTCGCCCACCTGCTCCTCCAGTCACTGCGCCTCCATTACCACAGCCTCAGCGAATAAGACCATGTCCCAATGGCAACTGCCCAGTTCGACAGGAGCCATCTAAGCAACCTCCGGGATGGGGAGGTGACTGTACAAGCGGAGACTGCTTGGAAGGTCAACAACCAAAACCGCCACAAAATAGTCGACAACGGCGTAAATTGGGCGATCATTATAAACTAACCAGCCAAGGAAGAAATCCCGGTGGAACTGATTTGGCAAAAAATTTCGTATCAGGATATGAAAATATAACCGTACCTGGATGGGGGAGTAAATGCCCAAATGGCAAATGTGTCGAAGGAAAGCAACCACCTCCATATTACTCACCTCACTGTAATTGGAAGCAACAGGGAGGCAATTCAAGCTCAAACACTCCGCAAATTTTAAAATTCGCATCCGGTGGTGTAAATAAAATCAGACCATCAGATGATCTGATCAGCCAACCACAACGATATCAAGCTTGTCTAAAAGATGGATCGTGCGGTTGTTGGGGAGGTGATGTAAATTACTTATCAATGAAGAATGATAAAGCAACATGCGAACCATATGGTTGTGGCTATAAATTTGGTAGTAGCTGTGGCATTAAATGGACGATTTTGTATGCTGACTATGAACGCTATCCTGGGCATATGAGAATAGATTTTGTTACGAAAAGTGAAATTTTGAGAATCATGCCTCACATTGATCTCAACTTTGCAAATGTGCTCTTCTTTGTGGAACCGGGATTTGCCCGTTATATCATCAATAAGCACATGGATTTGCCTAACTTATTGTTTTACATGGATGAGCCAGTACTGTATAAAATGATGGACACTGTTCCAAATCTTGAAAGCAGAATTAGCGGTTTTACTCCTGTCGAAATTTCGAACGTATTTTGTCGCGTGCATAACCAATGCCATTTCATGGATAGATTCTCCAAGAAAAGTCAAGATATTATTATCTTTAAGGTGAAATACTTGAAGCACTGCAGAGAAAAGAAGGTTGTCAAACCGTATGTCAATATGATAACTAACACTCCGGGTGAAAATTTGATCATCACAAAAACCCAAATTGCTTTAATTGAAGAGAAGATTCCGAAATTCAGAGCCTTGATCCCTAGGATTACCGAAACGGGGGCTAGACTTGTTTCTAATCATTACAAGGATGTATCGACATTGTTCGTCGGCCTGCATGAGAGTATTATAGCCCGAATTAACAACTTCCTTGACACATTCGCCGATAAGCTTTATGACTTCAGCAATGAAGAAATTGCAGAGAAAATGATTGGCTCTACAAAGGACGTAATGGCCTTGCTTGTTAAAAGATTATTTATATAATCGTCATTTCTGAATAAATTTTGGAATATTATATTTGGTCTTTTGAGCTATTTTAAATGGGTTTGAGTATTTGGAATGTAGGGAAGGGACCTTAACCATCAAAGGTTTCCAAGAAATAGGAAATATGAACCTTATAAGCCTTGAACGCAATGCATAACTGAAGATGAAATGGAGCTAAGTACGTGTCTCATATGAAAGCAATGCTTAAGATTGAATTAAATCTTGAGTCAACAATTCAGATGGTTGTGATTACCTAGCAAAGCGACTAAGTATCCTCATTTGGCATACCTTTCCTCCTCTGGCTTCAAATTCTGGTGTCCATCGAAAATTCAGTAGTGGTTCTTTTATCTAATTATCAGAGCGTGGCTCCGTAATTGAGAGATATCATTCCCATTTGAGTGGGTGCACTCCTTTTACTAAATTCTATGTTTGATAATGTCACTCCAAACTAAACATCTTATCTAAGACATAATTAGATAATTTTACTGCTCATAATTCATGTTTCCTAATCGCTATTTTTACCAATTCAATTCCAAGCTGGGTCAAAGGCGTTTACTTTCTTCGCATCAATCTAAATTTGCCTCGGGCATTTGCAATTTACGTTATAATCTAGCACAGAAAGTATATATTTATTTATATCAAATGGCAGGCGTCTTGGTGGTTATCATTAGCACTTTAGTTGACTTCAGGCTTCAAAGAAGGGAAGGAACATCAAAGTGAAAAAAGTGGAGGGGCAGGGGACAGAAGAGTGTTTCAAAGATGTAAAAAAGACAGACACAAAGGTAGAGAGAATGTGTGGTGAGTACTGTGAAAGTTGTTTAATATGACATACAGTGAGGTGATGGTTGTTTGAAGCCAGTCAATAGACTTTTTGTCGTATGAATATACGTTGCCCAGGGTGCACCACGTGGAGGTAAGTCTATTGCAAACCCCATCGCAGAAAGTATCAAACCCCTTTTCCTCTACATCTATCGATTCCTGGAAGGAATGGATGAGTTAAATGCAAGTGTCAAAGC